CTTTAGCGAAGAGTTCACGCAGGGCCTAGTGGCGTCCCTGGCTGGCTCGACCGGTGCTGCCCTCCCAGGGCTTCCTCGGTGAGCAGTGTTCATCTTTTATTCCGTTTATTTTTTTTTTATTAGCGAGCACATACATGAGTACAGAGTTTACAAAATCAGTACAATCAATGTAGAGCCAAATGACTTTGTTGGCTTTGGAAATTTTTTAAGATGAGGCTTTTACAAAAAAGAAGCTCTGAGCCAAAACAGTGAGCTCGCATGCACCTGCATTCTCCCTGCTTGCTCACACAGGACACCCGCAAAGCCCCGATCAGCCCCCTCTGGCTGGTAGAGTTCAGAGTGGCCACGAGTGACTGTATCATTGCTGCCCCATTCACAGAGGGAGGGGGACAGACACGGACTATCACCCACACTGTGGGGGGCACTACGGCTGGGAGGTGTTCTTGTAGGGAAAGTGTGGGGTAGGCAGATTCCCTGAGTTCTCCCCCCCCCCTTTTTTTTCTCATTTTGTTTTTGGTCATTTTAGGACTTGGCCAAGAGGAGAGAGGAATCTCTGAAGGAGAATATTGATGCATAAACGGGAAAATAAATGGGGAATCGTGGTCTCTGATTAATGTCTAAGCTGTTAAAAGAAGGAAGCAGGATGGTTTGCTGAACACTGCTAGCTAAGTCCTGAGGTGACCTCAGATATGAACAAATGGTTCCATAAAATAGCATAAGGTGGAAGGATGAGTGACTATGGACTGCAGGAGTTGTGCGTAGGGAAGCGAGCTGATCACGGTTACTGAAGCAGCAAGAGCTAGGCTGAGTATGTGGGAGAAGGCTGGGGGCTTGGGGCTACGGGCAGGGGTGACTCCCTGGGCATGATTCAGAGGTGTCTCTGGGGAATTGCCATTGGCTGAAGGGAACTGCCTAGGCTGCTTCCTCCCCAGGGACAGGCCCCTAATGACTGGCTGCCAAGGGGTGCGAAGGTTCAGCCCAGGTCATCCATGGGGGCATATCTTGGTACTCCCTGCCCAATGGAAAATACTGCAGCCACAGACTGAGAAGGGCATGGTGGTCAGGGGCTTGGACCCCCCAGGGAGGAGGGTCTGCTCACCCCCATCAGGTAAGTCACATGAAGCATCAGAGGTGTTAGCTCAGGGGGAGGGAATTAGAATGGGCAGGGGAGGAGAAGGATGGATGTCAGTTCTTAGTTGTGTTCTGAGATTGGCTGCAGTGGAGGGGACTGTCCCACTAATCCTTTTCTTATAAAATTTACCCAGGAAAATTGACCAATCAGAATCCAGAGGAAGTGGAATTAACAGCACAAGTGGGGACCGTGACGGACACCCAGGTTCCCCCTCCAGGACCAAGGCACTTATTCCCCCAGAGGTGGGGGGTGTTGGCTGTGAACTGCCCCCATCTCAAAGGAGCCCACTCACCCGAGGTCACGCCCCTTCCCAGGGGCTGCCTGTCTCAGTGACTGGTTGATGCGGGAGTACAAAGGCCTGGCCCCTTGCCTCAACTGAGACAACTCTGAAGGGCTACCTTACCTCCAGAGCTGCCTGTGGCATCAGCTGGGGCCACTGTCGCTCCCCAGCATTGCAGCATCTAGGCTTAACTTCTCCCTTTCCTGCAAGCGTTGTTCCCCAGAGCACTCAAGAAACCCCCTGTACACAGGTCTCCAGTCAGCTTCAGGGGAACCTCATCTAAGACACATTCCAAAGCAACTGTGTTTGCTACGGTGTTGTTTTCCCTAGTTCTCTTTTATTCATTGACGTTATCAATGTATACCTGTCATGAATGTCACTGAAGTAGAAACATCTGTTCTACATCTAGCCACTCATCCTGAAGTTTTGCATTTTCCTTGTAATGTCATAGTTTTCCCAGGCTAACTCCGCCTTTTCCCATGAAAGCTTCCATGAACTTCTCCAGAATTATGTGTAACCTCCCAAATAAGTAAATCTTGCCTTTATTTTCAAAATCTTAATTTCCCAACTACAAAGTTAATTACTCTATATGTGATTATAGATAGCTTAGAAAGTAAGATTTAAAACTATGCATAATTTGAGGGCTGGCCAGTTAGCCCACTTGGTTAGAGTGTGGTACTGATAACACCAAGCTCAAGAGTTCAGATCCCCTAATGGGCCAGCGACCCCCCCCCAAATTACCCATAATTCCCCTACTCAGAAATGATCACTTTTAATATTTCTGTGTTTCTTACCTTTTAAGAATTCTAGTTGAGACCACACTGTATTCTGCCTTTAACACCTGACATTGTAGCTTAAGCATTTGCCCATGTCATTGAAACCTCTTTCTAAAGATGATTTTAAAAGGTGGTATAATATTTCAAGGTTAAGGATGAGCCCTAATTCAGTAAACTATTTCCTGATGTGAGGCATTTAAGTTAGCAACAGTGTTTTCAGTGAACCTGGGCAGGACCACCTACATAGGGTGATGAGGTCAAAGGGCAAAATGCTTTCACCCCCAGAATGTGGGCCCAGGTGACTTTATTGGTCCCACATGAGAAGCTATGTTTTCAGAAGCCTGTAAGTCTTTTGGGGGGGTATGATCTAGAGTCTTATGCATCCCTTAAAGCACCATTTCCCAAAAGGTAGCCCTGGGTCATGATTTTAGATGGCACACAGGTGAACATCATTGTAATTTTAAAATTTCAAGACTTGTGCAAATTACCCAGTACTTCACAAATGATATTGCTTCAGGCAAGTAAATGCTTTTTAAAAAATGAATTGACAGCCACTAGGCAAATGAAAAAAGCCTCATCACTAATCACTAGGGAAATACAAATCCAAACCGTAATGAGATAACACTTCACACGCATTAGGATGGCTGATATCAAAAAAACAGAAAACAAGTGTTGGTGAAGATGTGGAGAAATTGGAACCCTTGTGCATTGCTGGTGGGAACGTAAAATAGTGAAGCAGCTGTGGAAAATAGTGTGGTGGTTCCTCACAAAATTAAAACAGTATTACTGTATGACCCAGCAATTCCATCTCAGAGTATATACACAAAAGAATTGAAAGCAGAAAGTCAAATAGATATTTGTACATCAATGTTCATAGCAGCATGATTCACAATAGTCAAAAGCCAGAAACAACCCAAATGTCCATCAATGGATGAATAAATAAAATGTAGTATACACATTCAGTGGAAGACACTCATCCTTAAAAAAGAATGAAGTCTAACACATGCTACAACACAGACGAACACTGGAGACATTGTGCTGAGTGAAATAAACCAGACACAAAGGGACAAATATTGTATGACTCCACTTATTTATGGTATCTGGAATAGTCAAAGTCAGAAACAGAAGGTAGAAGAGTGGTTACCATGAGCTGAGGGGAAGATGGATAGTGTTTAAGGGGTACAGGGTTTCAGTTAGGGATGATAAAGTTGTGGAAATACATAGTGAGGGTAGTTGCACAACGATGTGAATGTACTTAATGCTATTGAACTGTACACTTAAAAATGATTAAAATGGTAAATTTTATATGTATATTTTACCACAAAAAAATGAGGTGTTATAAAGAAAAAAATTAAGTACAGATGATGTGGCCCAAATTACTCAGGTTGTGTGGGAATGCCCAAGTTTGGAAAACACTGTCCCAGCCTCCCCCAGTGTGGCTATGGATTATTTCCATGCAAATGAGAAGCCTTCTTTCAATACTCTTAAATTGGCAGGAAGAGAAGAAAATGTGACATTCGTTGAGAACCTCTTTTGTACAAGTGCTTTATCTATTTTATTTCACTGAGTTCTAACAACACTGTGATGAAGGCATTAATCCAGATTCAGATTGGGAAACCGGGTCTGTCAGCAAGTGGCCAGACCAGCACTCAACACTGTCCCGTCCACCTCCATGTTTGTGCTTTTTCTGCTGTGTACCTTACTGCTTCCTGCCTGTTCCATCTCAATTTCTTTCCAGTGGGCACTGCAAAAAATTCCACACACTTGGAATTTTGCATATGCAGGGAATTTATTTGAAAAACACAAATTGTAGATCAGGCATCAAGCAGTACCTAAGCAATGGAAGCAAATTTGTCCCTCAGAGCAGAGCACACCTCCAAGGCCACAAACCAAACTGGGCATCTGCCTGGAGCTGGTGGCTCTTCTGGTTTCCTCAGTTACAAGCCAGATGTAGCTGTCAGATTCCGTATGAAAACAGATAAAACACGTCTTCACCATGGAAAATTTGGAATATACACAAGTGCGAGAGGAAAAAGCCACCACCACAAAGTATCAGTTATTTCACCGCCTATGAATAACCATGGTGCACGTTTTGGTCAATGTATTGCCCATTTTTACTGTGTGTACACATACTTGTACACAATGTATTTTAAAAACAAGCTTTACAATATGTACTTTTATCACCTGGTTTTCAACCAAATATATTGTGAACATTTTCTCTTCTACAACAGTTAAAGTAATCGCATAGTTGGAAAAAAGAATGTATTAAGCAATCTCGTTGGGGAAATTTAGATTTTTTTTTTCTAAGGAGACTTCATTTTTTTTTACAATGCCTTGAGACAGAAGGGGAGTCCTTATCTTGTATAGCTTTTTATAGATATGGAAATTTGCTCTTCAATTTAGCTTGCTTCTCTACACTCACCTAATCATCAATCAAGTATCTCTTTTTGTCTCCCTGGTACATACACAGACTTCCATTACTTCAGAATTCCTGTCTCCCCTCCTCCACTTCCTTCTCTTAAACAGGCTCTCTTCCCCTTTAAAAATACTGTCTTAATTGATTTTGAATAACTATTCAAAATTTTAACCTCAGTTCCATGTTAAAATTAGCCTTTAATAATCTGAAGGCAGATTTCAATTGTTTAAAATATTAATAAGAAGCCTTCGGTAGAGTTACATGTATCAAGAAGTACGGTTGAGAAAAATGTAGAAATGACTAATATTTTGCGGAAAAAAAAGTAGTTTTTTTAGGGGGTGGGGCAGAAGGAAAAAATAGCTGGTAATTTAAAGAATTGCTAAGGATCATTAATGGAAATGTATTCATTATTTTAAGGCAACTAAGAAATAATCATCTTTCACTTAGCACATTGGAGTGGCAGCCTTTCCTGGGTATGGAATTTGCGTGACATCTAAAATTGTATTTCCGGAAAAAGGCAAATGACGATTAACAGTAACTTTGTATAGAAAGGCAGATGCCAGCGAGCATAAGAGGGGTGCATGCAGCCGGTGGTGATGCTGGTGTCCTGGAAGCTGTGAGGTGCTCATCCATTACATGGCCATCTGGAAGGTAGGGGCACTTGGTCATTAAAGGAAATTCCTCTGGCAGTTTATCCTGCTGCCCACACACATGGCCTATCCACACGAGCCAAAGATCATCCGGGGCCCAACATTTGATGAGGACAGCGTGCTTATGGGATCGACAGTACCAATGACATGAAATTCAGACTCTCTTGAAAGAAGTCTTCTAACGTAAGTTGCCACAGGCGTGTCAGCTTGCTCTACCCAGGGCACTCTCACACCTGGTAACCTACACTAGCTGTGAACAGACTCAATTGCAGGGATGGGCACAACTTGGTTAGGCTCTGATAATAAGGAGATGGCACGTTTTGGGCCTCAGGTTCCAGGAAGAAAATATGGTCCCCACCCATGCAATCATCCAACTTGCACTTACCAGACACTTATTCTGGGCCTGACACCTGGGATGCAAATGGCAACGACACAATCCCTGTCTAGGCCAGGGGTCCCATCCTGTACTCAGTGAAGCATTTGCTTTCATTCACTTTCTGGACTTGAACATTTTCAATTTCTAACATCTCCAAGGGGCAGAACTACGAGGGGCCTGTGAACGAGGGTGGTCCTAGAAACCTGGCTCAGGTAGGGGTGGGGAGAGCACCCTCCTCCTGTTCTCCTCTAGGTCCTGCCCTTCTTTTCACCGTTTCTCTCAAATCAGTAAAAATCAGTAAGGGGAAAGGGTTCTGAGACCAGTCACCACGGGGGACCATGCAGGGGCCTTTCAGGATCCAGCAAGAAGTCCCCAGAGGGTCACGCCTCTGGTGGAATTTGCTGTTGGGGTGGGTTCTGACCTACTCTCCCTCCCTGGAGACTGTTTGGATCTCCCTGCCCAAAGGAAAATGCCAGAGATCATCTCTTGGTGTTTAAGAGACCAACTCCTTTCATGTTTTTCCTCAGTAGAAGTTCACAGACTCTAAAAATGTCAGATAGACTTGAAATAACTCTCCACATGGAACAGCAAGGCTGGCCATGTCTCTGAGGGAGTTCATATCAAGGATGCCACGGTGACTATCTCATCTGGAGTCCTTGATGCTTTTACAAAGAGAACTGTGGCTTCCAGGCTCTGTCAAGCCATGAGGTAGGAGGAGAGACCCTGTAAACTAAGCACCCCCACAGGCAACTAAGTCACCAAAAGGGCAAAAGAAAGAGGGGGACATCTGCTTACCACAGCCAGGTAGAAATGTCTGAGGAAGGCAGCGGAACCGGCCGCGCCAGCATTTACACATGGAACACTTCTTGGGCAGCCAGGTGTCATGGGGCACAGACCCACAGTTCCTGAGAAGGAGCAGACGAGGCGACACCTGTGCATTTGGCATTCCACTTCTCTCCACCCCATCCCCGCCCCTTTCAATGGCTTACTCTTTGCGGACATCGTGCTCACAGTTCCGTCCATAGAAAGAGGGGGGGCAGGCACAAAAGGACCCCAGCATGCAGGTTCCCCCATTCAGACAGCAGGTTTTGTTTAGCTCCTTACCTGAAAGGTAAGAAGAGGTGGGTGAGAGGGGGGAGGTGGTGCAAAGCCTGAGGGCAGGTCCTGCAGGCAAAGGTTAACACAGTGCCAACGACTTAATTTCCCCAAAGCATTTGTAAATGTCTAAGAATTGTAAACCTCACAGAACAAGACTCTGCTTGTGAGTGTTCCTTTTGCTTCCCGTGCCTCTGAGCAGGGAGATTGTTTTCACGCACAGGCCGGCAGTGGTTCTGGAGTCCCCGGCATGAAGTGGAATCAGCTGAGGGAAACTGTTCCAGGAGGTACAACAACCCACAAAGCCTGTCTCACCTCCAGAACCAAAACCAAAAACCAGTCCCACCACCCGCCCAGTTGAATCAGGTGCCCACCGCTACAGGTGAAAGTGTTAAAAAGGACCAGCACAGAGATGACCTAAGGCGGGGAGGTCTTACTGTCCTGTATTCCCATGGATGGCACAAACTGGGAAGACCGAGGATGAATTGCAGGCTCCTCATGGGACCGAATGCCATCATCTCTGGCGGCCAGGTCTTTCTCAGATGGACGTGCAAGTTCATGGTGGCCCAACCCTTAACAACAAAAATCAACTCATGGAACCTGTATTTCAGGCCACATAAAAATCGTCAGTGATTAAAAGAACAAAAAGTCTCTCACCAGCAACTAATCCCAGTTCAAATGCTCTGGAAATGGCCATGATCAAAATCACACTAGGAAGAGGAAATCAGACTTCTGTTAGCAAAACAAAGCAAATAAAACCCTATGAGTTAACACCTGGGCCCTCTTATCAAAAGGACAAGACCACAGACCTCTAAGGAGAAGTAGAGCATCGTCTTTCTTTTTGTTTTTCCTTTCTTTTCTTAATGGACGACTAATTGATCATAAAGAAAAATGTTGAAAATAAAAGTCACCAATATTCAACCCTTTTCAATACATATCATTATTTCTTAGGCATTCTCATATGCACATAATTTTAAGTAATATAAACGTTCTATCTTCTATTTCATGTAACATTTTTTTTCTCCTGCACATAGTTTTCATATAAGAATTTAAAAATGGCTGACTGACATTCCTTGTTATTGACGAATCACATTTTACAAACTCTTTCACTTAAACCAGTCATTTGAAAGGTTTTCAGGTTAAAAATTTTTTTTGCCGTTATTCTTAATGGTCTTGCAAGTATTGAATCTGTCTATACCTTTAACCCACTCAGAAGCAGATTTTAAAGTTGGTTGTAATACTGACCTTTATTTACACTGGAGTAGGAAAACACTTAACCCTTTCATAGGCAGAGCCATTAACATAATTGAAAATGTTAAAAAGCAATGGCAAAGGTGGATGTAAACAAAAGTGTGACGTTCCAGGTCTTTCAGGATAAACTGCAGCGTTGATGGTAGCTCTTTCAAGGTTTGAGCAAGATTAAAAACATCACAGATGTAGAACATTATTTCCTAAACTGGCAATCTCTAGCAATCAAAACTTCACATTCAAGATTAACTCATACCTGGAAGAGAAGCGCTCCATCTTCCTGCCGTCCATAGCTTTTAACAATTTAGGGAGGGAAATGTTAGCATGCCTTTAATTCACACAGTCATTGCCAAAACATCCAAAGGAAAACATTAATTTCCTGAAGCGAAAAAGGCAATTTAAGAAAAATATCACAGATGAGAAATATGCTTTCCCCAGAAGGTCTTCGGAAAAGCAAAAGCCAAGATGTCCTGAGAAACTGGGGGTCTCTCGGCCCCAACGACTGTTTTGACCTTGAGCCAGGGACTCAGCCTTCCCGGGAGTCTCCTTCCTCAACAACAAACCCCTGGCCTGGCGGGGAGGACCCTCAGGTGGGCGGGGAGGCGGCAGGCCCACGCCCATTACAATGCCTGAGCACTGCGGGGATGGGAGGCGAGAGGCGGTGAAGCAGCTTAAACAGTTACAGAGAATGGAAAAGGTGGAGTCTTGTCAAACTGTGGTTAATTAGTCCTAATATCTCTATCATTAGCTTCAGGTTAAAAACACCCGATTTACTAAAAAAAAAAAAAAAAAAAAAAAAAA